CCTTGTATCCTAGCGAAGAACTGACCGACGACAAGTTGACGACGCGACCCGATCGGTCATTTGGCAGGTAGGGGATGGCGGCTTGCATAAGAAGCAATGGGCCTCGCACGTTGACGTTGAACTGTCTGGCAAAGTCTTCGCAGTCGACATTTTCGACGTAGTTGTTGCCGGCGACACCAGCATTGTTGATGATGATGTCGAGCTGGAACTTGCCCGTCTTGGGGTGTTGGAAGTTGTTCTTGGTGACTTCTACGAGGTGCTTTGGGCCGTTTTCCGAGCCCATGCTCGCCTGCACGGTGATGGCCTTGACACCATACTCGGACTGCAGCTCGGAAGCAAGGTCTTGGGCAACTTGGGCAGACGAGTCGGAGGTGTAGTTTATGACGACATTGCAGCCCTTGGAAGCGAGGTTGCGGGCGACTTCGACGCCAATTCCTAGGGGGGCTGAGAAATGGAGGAGCTCAAGGAGGAGCAGTACGTACCTCTTGATGCTCCTGTTACGATGGCGTTTCTTCCTTCGAGGATGCGCTGGCCCGAAGTGCCAAGGTTAGTGGAGGCAGTTCGCGTGTGTGCTGGTCTCTCGGCCATGTTGCTTTTTGCAGGAGTGCTGGGCCTAGTAGACTGCGTGGTTGTGCGTCGCAATAGTCGCGTTGGTGTGTGATGCGGACTATTTATGGCGGGGTTTTACAGGTGATGCGGGGTCGTGGAGACGGCTCAATAGACCTGGTGCTCGGTGGTTCCGCCGCATCACTGTCCAGTTTCTGCTCGGCCACTGTCCGACCATGACGAGAAGAACCGGTGGGCATTGAGCAGTGTAGGGTAAATGTAGAGCATGGTGCGGTGTTGTTCCGTGTGGTCTCGGGATATAAAAAAGTCGACCTGTGTGGTTGGGGGATGATCGCCAGGGTCTGAGCTACTAGAGGCCCAGAAGGACTGCTTGGGCGAGGGGCAGCAAGCAATGGCGTGCGAGCTGATTCATGCCAGCGAATTCATGCCAGCAGAAGATATGCAATCCCACACACAGCACATGGGCAGAAGCTGACTCTGCTACCAGGAGCGAGCATGCAAAACCCGAGCAGCACGCATCATTTTTTTCTGCCACTCCGAGCGACTATCAAAGTGCCCGAGTAGCACCGAACTGGGTTGATTGAGTATGGCGTGCAACAGCATCGACGACGCTAGCACTCGGAGTTTTGCACAGATAGTACCGATGTCGGATGGAGCAGCGTGCTGTGGGGGCCATGATTCGCTGCAGAGGGGCCAGAAAGACGCGCTTGACCGCGAGTTGCAGCAGCGGTGTTGTTGCATAGTCCGGCCAAGGGTGTTGTGTTGGTTGAGGCCCAGATAGTGTTTGGCGATGCACTCATCCCCGAAGGCGGTGAGGGGCATCGGTGCGCCATTAGCGGTAACCCCGCGGTGCCAGCATACGCCAGCAAAAACCATAAAGCACACCATCTGCTGCTCTTTCTTCTCCCCTCATCCCTCCTCCCTCCTCCCTCCCCTCTATCCTCCCACTCCAATTCCATCCCCCCTTCTTCCTCTTCATCGTCCCCTTTCCTCCCACATCAATCGTCCATCTCGGACACGCACATCACAATGGTACACTCATCAGTACTTGGTTTCCCCCGTATGGGTGCGGACCGTGAGCTCAAGAAGGCCAACGAGGCTTACTGGGCTGACAAGCTCTCCCGCGATGACCTTCTCAAGGAGGGCAAGCGTCTGAGGTTGGAGCACTGGAAGATCCAGAAGGACGCTGGCGTCGAGATCATTCCCAGCAACGACTTTGCTTTCTACGACCACCTTCTCGACCACATTCAGCTCTTCAACGTAAGTCTTTCTTGTCCCCCACCTTGGTGTTGCCTTTTCTTTTGCTAACAATCCCAGGCTATCCCAGAGCGTTACTCCAAGCACGGACTGCACAAGCTCGATGAGTACTTCGCCATGGGCCGTGGCCACCAGAAGGATGGCGTCGACGTTCCCAGTCTGGTAGGTCAACTGTCTCTCAGTCAACAAGGCATTGCTAACATGCTTGCAGGAAATGGTCAAGTGGTTCGACTCCAACTACCACTATGTCAAGCCTACCCTCCAGGACAACCAGACTTTCAAGCTTGCTGAGAACCCCAAGCCTGTGGTTGAGTTCCTCGAGGCCAAGGAGGCTGGCATCACCACCCGCCCCGTCCTCATCGGTCCCGTCTCCTTCCTCGCCCTCGGCAAGGCCGACCGTGGCCAGTCTGTCGACCCCATCTCCCTCCTCGACAAGCTGCTGCCCGTATACGTTGAGCTCCTCAAGAAGCTGAAGGAGGCTGGTGCCGAGCACGTCCAGATCGATGAGCCTGTCCTCGTCTACGATCTGCCTCAGAAGGTCAAGGATGCTTTCAAGCCTGCCTACGAGAAGCTTGTTGGCGCCGACCTGCCCAAGGCTGTCATTGCCACCTACTTTGGTGACGTTGTCCACAACTTCGATGTCTTCCCTAGCCTCCAGGGAGCTGCTGCCATCCACGTCGACCTCGTCAGGAACCCTGAGCAGCTGGAGAGCGTCATCAGCAAGCTTGGCTCCAACCAGGTTCTCTCTGCCGGTGTCGTTGACGGCCGCAACATCTGGAAGACCAACTTCAAGAACGCCATTGAGCTTGTCGAGACTGCTGTCCAGAAGCTTGGCAAGGACCGTGTCATTGTCGCCACCTCGAGCTCTCTTCTCCACACTCCCCACTCTCTCGACAGCGAGAAGAAGCTGCCCGAGGAGGTCAAGGACTGGTTCTCCTTTGCCGTCCAAAAGGTGTCCGAGGTTGTCGTCATTGCCAAGGCTGTCAACGAGGGCCCTGCTTCCGTTCGTGAGGCTCTCGAGGCCAACGCCAAGTCGATGCAGTCTCGTGCCTCATCTGAGCGCACCAACAACAAGGCTGTCAAAGACCGCCAGGCTAGCGTCACCCCCGAGCAGCACGAGCGCAAGTCTGCCTTCCCTGAGCGATATGCCCAGCAGAAGACCCACCTCAAGCTGCCCCTCTTCCCCACCACCACCATCGGCTCCTTCCCCCAGACCAAGGAGATCCGTATCCAGCGTAACAAGTTCACCAAGGGTGAGATCACCGCTGCCGAGTACGAGAAGTTCATTGAGAAGGAGATTGAGGAGACTGTCAAGATCCAGGATGAGCTTGACCTCGATGTCTACGTCCACGGTGAGCCCGAGCGTAACGACATGGTGCAGTACTTTGGTGAGCGCCTTGACGGTTATGTCTTCACCACCAAGGGTTGGGTCCAGTCTTACGGATCCCGCTGCGTCCGACCTCCGATCATCGTCGGTGACATCTCTCGCCCTGCTCCCATGACTGTCAAGGAGTCCAAGTACGCCGCCTCGGTATCCAAGAAGCCCATGAAGGGCATGCTTACTGGACCTATTACCTGCCTGCGATGGTCTTTCCCCCGTGATGATGTCCACCAGTCTGTGCAAGCTCAACAGCTTGCTCTCGCTCTCCGCGACGAGGTCCTCGACCTTGAGGCTGCTGGCATCTACGTCATCCAAGTCGACGAGCCCGCCCTCCGTGAGGGACTCCCTCTCCGTGCTGGCACTGAGCGCGAGAAGTACCTTTCATGGGCCGTCGACTCTTTCAAGCTTGCGTGCGCTGGTGTCCAGGACTCCACCCAGATCCACTCGCACTTCTGCTACTCCGAGTTCCAGGACTTCTTCCACGCCATTGCTGCGCTCGACGCCGATGTTCTGTCTATTGAGAACAGCAAGAGCGACGCCAAGCTCCTCAAGGTATTTGAGGACAAGGCGTACCCACGCCACATCGGCCCCGGTGTGTACGACATCCACTCGCCTCGTGTTCCCTCCGAGCAGGAGATCAAGGATCGCCTGTCTGAGATGCTCACATACCTCAAGCCCGAGCAGCTGTGGGTCAACCCCGACTGCGGTCTCAAGACCCGTCAGTGGAAGGAGACCAAGGCTGCGCTGATCAACATGGTCAACGCTGCAAAGTTCTACCGCGAGAAGCACGCGGCTTAAATTTCTTCTGCCATTTGGCAATCCCTTTGCGGCCGTGTTTCATCAACGCGGCCGCGTCGAGTAGCATATCAACTTGCTCTCGTGTAATGTGTGTGTAATGAGTTTTATGATACCCAAAAGTTCAACCTGCATCATGGGTCGTTGAGCGGTGCAAAAGAAAAGCAGATTGTGTATGGATAGGACGGACATGGGTGTCCGGCACAACTAGCTCTGGCGTTTGTTTTATTGGGAATGTTTGCGACACGGGTCGCAGGGTCGATTGACCTGGACAGATAGATGTGTGTATGTAGTATAGCCAGTGAAGAATGAGACGATAAGTGTCTCCTGGCATAAGCCGAATATGAAAATATACAGGCAGATGCATCAATCATTGTCATGTATCCACTGTGTGTTTGTTCCCGATGATGATTTACTTTTTGCTGCACGGCTTGGTCAAAAGAGATGGGTGAATGGGGAGGCCAAGTAGCTGTTGTTGCTGTTGCCTGGACAGCAAGAGTGTACTTCACCATTTCGGCAGCCGAGTAGACGAAAAGCCTGACGGTAGCGAAAAGGGCGCTTGTTGGAGTTTGGATATTCTTAGATGATCACGAGACGCTGATGCGATGACAATACGGAACTCGTTTCGCCGTAATTTCAAAAAGAAAAGAAAAAAGTCAAAAAAGGTTAAGATAGGTTATAGAGTTCAAAATCTACAACCGCGGAAATTAACTTGTGGTTCTCATGAACAGGTGAGGTCTAGCGTGTCTCATTACTGCTTACAATGCGAGCGGGATATCAACGGCAGAGGTCGTAATTAGGTTAGTTCTTACCATGAGATGATGTCTGACATGTCCCGTTACGATTGTAGCCTCCTCTTCTCTCAGCTCGGGCCTCGATAACTGATATATATTTCGCTGCCTAACGTTCTGTCTGAAATCATAGCGAGTTTTGCACCTTTTGATCCCAACAGAACAATCAAAACTCCTACGTTTTACACTTACTATAACACACAATCAAAATGAATCTTTTTTACCTTCTCCTTTCGATGGCCTCGGTATCCTTCGCCGAGGTAGCAGTCGATTGGTCGATGACAGGAGTCGATATACTCAATCCCAACACGACCTCAAACACCAAGATTAGTGCCCGAGCATTTCCTCTTGTACGGAGGAACCTTGGCCAAGTAGCTTGTGCAGCCGACACCCGAACCACCGTTGACGCACGCACCCACACTCGCCGTTACAACTACCGAACCAACCTTCTCTCAGCCGTATGTCAAAACGACATCGACTACACCGCGCGCTGCCAAACCGTAATCCCCACAAACAACCACGCCATCATCACGCACCAAGAAAAATGCGCCGCCGACGAAGTCTGCCAGCAAGTCTCCTACCGCAACTTTCTCGGCCAAACCTCCAGCGAAGTCTCGTGCGTGGAGAAAGATACGCTGCCGAACCACCAATTCGAATGGTCCACGGACGCCTCGTCCGTTGACGAGAACCACTGCGGTCCTGGCTTGAATATAGTCCGTGAAGAGGACTCACTCACAGTCAGTGTTCAGTTTTACGGTGGCAATCCTAGTTCGCATGCGAGTAGGAAGTGGGTTCATGAAGCGTGGCTTCAGAGTAATAAGAGGAAGGAGAGGATTCAAGATATTCGTGGGGTTAATGGGTTGTATTGGAAAGGTGCGGCGCATACGGGGGAGACGATTCAGGCGTGCTTTTTGCGCAGTGACGCTGGTGATGCTACCAATGCTTTGTTAAATTGGGTTGATGGGTAGGAAACTTGTTTTTCTTAAGAGATTGCTATGTGTAGATTACTTGAGTTTTGTTATATATTTTATTTAGTGCTGTGCTTGTACATAGAGTCGCTAGCAGCTGTAGTATATACTATTGTAGAGATTTTTTTTCATCTCTATCTACGTGGGTACTTGACATAGAAAATTAGTATATTATGTATGTCTCAAGAATCTTTAAATTTATAAGTTGATTATATTTTTTTTATCTATTATATCCTTCTTTCTTCTCTAAACAATCAAGGAAAGATAGTCTAGTAGTTTTTTGTTTCAAAGATTTCTTAGTATAATTTGTATAACCTTATATATTACTGCTTGAACTATTATGACGTTGAAATGGTCTCCCATTCCTAAGGTAGAATCGTAGTAGATTGACGTAACTAAGTAAGATCGTACGCCAGCACAATGTTTTGCTATCAGTAGTCCAATAGGTTCTATTCTATGCGTCTTCACCAGACAGGGAGATCAATGGGCGAGTAGGTTCTGCAGCTGCTTGGCGTTTTTTGCTCCAGGAAGGATTCCTCTCGCTGTTTCTTGTAAGATCATTGTATAAAAGATTGTTAGGCTAGGAAAAGCGTGGGGGAACGAAAGTACTTCGTTAAAACGCTGGTGTTATCAACGCTAGCTTAGATAGGTAGTGCGCGCTTTAATTAGCTGGAAATAAGATCTGTGTGCTGGGCCAAGCACCAAGCCTCCGCAGAACGGCCGCAATACCCGCCCATGCGTAGCTCTTTGACTAACTTCCTACCAACTACGTTTTACCACCTATAGCATAAACCTGATTAAGTCGTTGGTGTTTATATCCTATAATAAAGAGCTTCTTGTAATCACTTTATATTCGATGGCGAGGGAATGAGTGAATACCTTGAAGTAGCTGAATATGAAGGAAAGCTTGTTGGGTTTATGATCGGCGTGGTTCTCGGACTTAACGAATCCAGTCGTTGACGTAGACATTGGCACAGTGGATCATGTCTAAGCAACAAGCATGTTGCTTGTATATGTGTGTGTGGAGCCGGAGGCCGCGGTCTCCTACATCTACCCCTAAACGTTCACTCTCGTTTGGTCATTTTTGAGGGTTGGAAAAATAAAAGAAAAAGGCAGTGATGTAAATCGTACATCCATACTAAACACAGAATCTTATACTAGCCATAAGATCATACTTGATGTGTTATTTGAAAAAAAAAAAGACATTCGAATCGCTGTGGCCTCTGGATTCTGCCTGTATACGGTAAGGAAACGATGCACTTAGTGGCCGCATTTCCCTGTGCATGAACCTTGCTAGGGTCCCATAAAATTCAATAACTCACTGTTGATTGCTTTTAAAACTTGATGGGTGAAACCACCGATGACTAGAAGTTCCACTCATATCAATCTATGATGAATGTGTTATTGGCCGAGGCTAGCAAACATCATTGCTGGGCAGTATCATCGATATGTTCTCGGTGAATGGAGATTACGTTACCCGCGACTTATAGTAAAAGGAAGGCGGACCAAAAGCAGCGGAAGGGGTCTGGGTTTGATATATAAAACGAACGGCTGGACGTTTTCTCATTACTTGACATCTCTAACATCCCTACACAGGTTGATCGCAACAGACTTGGAACAGATTTTACGACTTGTCAACATGTCAGCTCCTCGCACCTTGCACCTTCCCAATCTCCTATTGGATCCATCCCCTGATACAACCGAGAAAGTCTTACCAACAGTTATCACCATGTCACTTGCTGTTGTTACACTCATCATCTCGATGTTCATCCTCACCAACCGGTCAAAGCTGCCTTTGGCGAATCCTCCAGCATGGTTCCAACCTATGCTTGTTAAGAGGATAGAGTTTATGAAAAGTGGCCCTAGCGTGCTTGACATGGCTAGAAAGTCCTACGGCAAGCAGCCGTATAGGCTGATTAATCACATCGGCGAGATTATTGTTCTTCCACCGTCATATGCGAACACTATTCGCAACGAGCCGCGCTTAAACTTTGGAGAAGCACTGAATTACGTTAGTATCAGGGATATAAATGTTTCTTGTACTTGTGAGCTAAATGATAACTTAGGAACTACCGAATCGGTTGTCTGCTTTTGATCCACTTTGTATTCTCTCACACGAGAAGAAGATCTTGCAGACAGTAGTGAAAAAGCAACTTACGAAGTTCTTGAGTAAGTACCTCACCAAGCGTATAGAGCCTACAATGGAGTACTAATGTAAATATCAAAGACTCTGTAACAGAACCACTTTCTACAGAAGCTACCTTTGCCGTTGATACGATATATGGCTGTGACTCGGGTATGGTATCTTCTCTAGGCTGTTAATATTAAAAGCTAACTTGATTAGAATGGAAAGAGATTACTGTTTCAGATAGTGTTCTGTCCCTGGTGACTCGCTTGTCAAGCAAAGTCTTTCTTGGAGACGAGCTCTGCCGCAACGAAGAATGGCTCCAACTCTCAAAAGAATATACAGTCTGTAGTTTCCAAGCCGCCAAGAAGATGAACTACATTCCTTCGATACTAAAGCCGGTATACGGCTTGTTTTCCAAGGAAGTCAAGATTGTCGAACAGAAGCTCAACCAAGCGCGTGCACTGCTGAAGCCGATTGTCGCAGAACGGAATCGCTTAAAGCTTGAAGCTGCGAAAAAGTCCGAACCAGCTCTGAGGTATAATGACGCGCTTGAGTGGATCGACGAGGAAAGCCAGGGCACCGCTGATACTGCTGTGTTCCAAATGTCTCTTTCGTTTGCAGCAATCCATACCACTTCGGATTTGCTAGGCCAGACTATGACGCGTATCGCCAACGACCCCTCTCTAGCAGAGGACCTGCGAAAGGAAATCGTTCAAGTTATCAGCACCGATGGTCTGACTAAGCTCGCTCTTGCTAATCTAAAGCTTATGGATAGTACTATGAAAGAGACACAGCGGATCAACCCCAACACAATCTGTAAGCATATACTATCGACTGATTAAGATTTGGCATGATAATAGCTAACACTGTGAGATAGTCGGTATGAGAAGAATGGCAAAGGAGAAAGTTGTCCTTCCTGACGGAACGGTTATTCCAAAAGGGCAATACGTCGCAGTCGACATCGCGAACTTGTTCGATCCTGAGCTCTACCCCGAACCCAACAAGTTCGACCCTTATCGCTATTACCGCATGCGAAAAGACCCTAGTCTAGCCATGAAAGCACATCTCGTATCGACTGGCGCTGAAAACATATCCTTTGGCCATGGCCTGCATGCGTGTCCCGGGCGCTTCTTTTCGGCAAACGAGATGAAGATTGCGCTTTGTCATCTCTTACTTAAATATGACTGGACGTTGGCGGCTGGAGCGTCGTTGGAGCCGGTGCATCTGTTTGCTGATACGATTGCGCTGGATCCGAGGAACAAGCTGAGATATAGACGCCGTGAGGAGGAGCTGAAGCTAGAATCGCTGGGCTTTGACGAGTAAATGAACGTGGGAATGTTCATTGTTATCATAGTACGTAAGGCAAAGGTACAAGCATTGGAAATTCGCATAGCGTCTTTTGTAGTTTAGTACTAGTATGCTCGTTGCACATGGGTTACAGTTAGTTCTTGGGCGAAATGGTGGTCTGATTTTAGGTATAGAATGCGAGGACTTGTTGTACAGTGTACATATCACGTGACTCTTACGGATAGAACACAACTATTTTTTCGCACTTGTGTAAGAGGCTTGAACAAGAAAACAAAAAACAAACCCAACCAATACTTAAGATTCGCTTCACGCAAAGCTATAGGTACTCAAGAGCGTGGGCCCAGAGTTTGTTTTTCGCAGCCATATATGAGAGTGGCGGGCGCAAGTTGTGACCGGGGTTTGGCCAGCCTCCTCAATGGTTGTCGCGTACTACCCCTCCACTCGACCATCCATCACATGTCCAGACACCCATGGCCCATACCACCCCGTGCAGTTTCTGCGGTCAGTCTGGATCTCGGCAACCTATTACTGTCACCAGTCATGTTCTTGAAGAGGGTCTTCCGTGCCGCTTGTTCCCGTCTTCACATGCACGTACGTAAGCCAGCACGACAGTTGCCCTGCGCAACCAGCCCCGGCCCTGTTTACCAACCCAACCCAAGCCGCCCAGCCACCGTCGCCCTCAGGATGCCGCCCGCTAATGATTGGGCAGATAAACGGCCGCTGTCACGGAAGATGACGCGCTTTGGCTACTTGGTCCACAGTCAGCGCACGGCGGGCGCAGGCGGGCGGGCCAGGAGGGCTGGGCCTATGTTGATAGACCCTCGCGGAAGCCAGCCACCTCGATCGCCCCGTGCATGAACTGCTGCTCCTCTGAACCCACCCTCGATTTCCAGCCGCCTTTGTCGCTATCCACCGTGCTCTGCTCTCGTACCGGTAGCCATAGTCTGCTTCATGGGACATTCGTCTCGCCTCTCGAGGTGAATGTACCATGGTCCGCAAGACACGGGTACGCTGCGTGCTCGTGCTGTTCTACGAGGCCCTGCTTCTCGCTCCTACTGCCGCCGTCGTCCACTTGCCCTACAACCCGACTCGCGTCCTCCAGACCAACGATAGCCTCTACGTCTTCCGTCCCTCGCCCCAGTCATCGACCCAGTTCCAGCTCAGCAGCATTGACCTGTCCGCCACGCTCACGGCTTCCAACCTTCCCTACAATACCCTCTACTCAGCTCTGCCCTTCCTCGATGACACCACCTTGCGGCCTTTCACACCGCTCCTCAACAGTGGTGGAAACCTGACCGTATACACCGGCGACTGCACCCGAGGTGCCAACGGAGCCCAGCTATGGACTTACACACCCAATGCTGCGGACCCCAGTGCGAAGGGTACTTGGAAACAAGAAAATGTGTCGGTTACCGATAGCTCGCATGCTGACAGCATGGGCCCAAACTTTCTCAGCGCTGGAATGGCCTTTTCATCCGTCGTACCAGGGGACGCCCAAACTACAGGAGCATACTTTTTCGGTGGCATGTGTCCCAATGCAAGCGACTCAACAGGGTCATGGCAATCTGCAGCCAGCTACTCCAACTCGGTCGTTACGCTCGAGCCTTCGGTCCCAAGCACCCAGTCTCTCAACTACCAACTAGACATCTCCTCGAGTCGCGGACCTCCCGTGCCCGAAGCCGGCTTCACCATTACCGGCTTGTCTCCGACATTCTCGGATCGTAAAGATGGCGCGCAGATTCAGCAGCAGAACTTCCTCCTCATTGGAGGGCATACTAGTGCCGCTTTCCTCAACATGTCGCAGATTGCTCTCTTTTCCCTTCCAGAGCAAGGCTGGACATTTATCCCTGTTCAGCAGCCTGATGGTTCATCTGCAGTCGAGCCTCGATCTGGTCACACTGCCGTACTCAGCGCGGATGGTCAAACCATCATCGTCGTCGGCGGCTGGGTTGGAGACATCAACACACCAGCCGAGCCTCAGTTGGTAGTCCTTAGCCTTGCTGATGGCTACGGTGGTCACGGAGACTGGCAATGGACTGTGCCATCTACCAGTGGTTCAGGACTGCCAAATGGTTCAGGACTGTATGGTCATGGTGCTGCCATGTTACCTGGAGGTGTTCTGATGGTCACCGGAGGGTATACCATTCCCTCGTCTGGTGCCCAGCGACGAAGAGATTCATCAAGTATCAACGCCAAGACGTTCTTCCTCAATACTACCTCGAATACCTGGATCGCCAATTACACGCCTCCTGCCAAGACACCTGCATCTTCGTCTGAAGAGAATGGATTCTTATCAACAACTGGACAGAAAGCAGGTTTGGGCGTTGGTATAGCCATCGGTCTCGTTGCCATATGCGGAGTTGTCGCCCTGTACATGTGCTACAGGAGACGGTCAAAGAACCGCCGACACATCCGGGAAAAACAACTTCAGGACCTGTCATATACTACTCACAGGTACAACATGGAGGATTATGCGCCAGCGTGCGATGAACGTGGGGGTCGACTTGACGCATCTGACTATGTCGTCGATCAGAATGGTTCTTACTACTTTCCCCAAGGAGCTCAGGGCGGCCAGGGCTGGAAGGCAATAAGTGGAGGCGAAGTTGAACGAACTGGCTTGCTTGTTGAGATTCCGAGTCCGACGCGCGGGTTGCGACGTAGTATGAGTGGGAGACCTGCGTACGGTGTCAACAAGCCTCGCGGTCCAAGCGGTATCCATCCAATTGATGAACTCGAGGAGGAAACGGACGAAGAGCAAGCTCAAGATAATTCGCCCCTGTCAAGGCCTCCTGAGATGGCTGAACTGCGACCAAAATTTGGAGTTGCAGTTCTCGACAATGCCCCAGTTTTGGACGCGTCCGTGCCTGGCCAAAAGCATGGCAATATGCAGAGAGATATGCGATACGCTGCATCTGCATCGAATACCCAGGAATCGTCTAGTCACATCAAAAGTAATTCTCTCGGACGGATTCAATTAAACTCGGCTGGCAGAATTTCCCCGGACAAATCAAACTCCGAGCGCACGAGCTCAAACCTTAGTGAGCGGAGTGCCATGTCCTGGACCTCTGCAAACGAGGGTGCTCTTGAAAGTGTATTGATGCGCTCTGGTAATACGCCGAGAAATATTGCTGGCTCCTCCAGATCAACGAATCCAAGCCCTACCAGCGACAAGGCCAGGAGGAGAGGGGAGGTTGGCCGACATTCTCCTGATGAACCTCGGACACACTCTTTCAATAGTGAACAGAGTCATGGCCGACTAGACTCGGAATCTTTCCGAGCCATTCAGTCGTCGTTTGCGCATCTGCAAGCTGAGGGTGAAGCACTGCTTGGTGGTAACCCAGAGCGACCGAGGCCAGATACTGGTTCTTCTAAATCAGACGCGTGCCACGATACAGATCATAGTAACAGCCGAACGGGCACTGCTACTCCAGCTACATCTTTCGTCTTGGACATGCCGGGTGTACCCCAGTCATCGTCCAAAGTGCGAAGGACGAGCTGGTTAGGTAGTGTCCGCAAGGTATTGACAAGATCAGTCTCGGGCGCTGAACGAACAAAGTCAATGATTGCTCCTGCAACATACCAAGAACCCTATAGAGATGATCCAACTTCGCCTACTGAACCACACCAGGTGGACATGCGGCAATCATTCCCAGCCGCCACTGCACCACCCCAGCGTGCAGCTTCAGATGCAAGCTTTTGGCGCAATAGGAGAGGGAAAAAAGACTGGCTGGACGATGAACAAGATCCAGCCTGGCGTCGTACTGCTGGTGATGACTGGGGTACACCCGAAGACATTGCCATGGCTGAGCGTGAACGCCGACGCCAGGAGTGGAGAGAAAGGGGCGGCAACTTGCTGGTCAACCTTGACGGTGATGATCGCATGCCTACACCGCGCTCACCCATTCTTGCAAATCACCTCGGTATTCCTGTTGGTGAAGACCGTCCGTGTACTCCCGCTAGCGAGGCTGATTGGGACGTTGAAGCAGCTGTCGAGCGACGAGTGGTTCAAGTCATGTTCACAGTGCCCAAGTCCAAACTGCGTGTTGTCAACGCCGATATAGACGGTAGCAGCATCTTGTCAGTCCCTCAAGACAGCGACAGCCAGGCGAGTGAGTCATCAAAGAGTGGAGGCTCCCCCAGTCGTGTCAAAGATATTGCTGGACGGTTTGAGCAACTGAACAACAGCAGCAACAACAGTCCTAGGATATCGCCCAGACCTTCGCCCAGACCATCTCCGTCCAATTCGATCAAGTCGATGAAGATTCGGCAAAAGGCCAGCCAAGCGTCTTTGGCAAGGCAGCAAAGCCTGAGAAATGCGGCCAAGGCTAATGGTCTTAGCCCGCTCAGTAATGGCGAGAATTAGTCGCTTGCTTCTCGCCTACTCTTCGTCTTCTTCTTCTCTTCTATTCAATATGTTTTAGTTGGCCTTTTTGTGCAAATTTCTGCGGCTTTTTTTTGACGCACTTTATATTTTTTCAGTAACAAGACAAGATGTCAGGGTTCAGCGCAAGGTGTTTTGGAGCTAGGGATATTGGCGTACTTACAACGGAATTTTCAACCACCTCGGTCTATCGTTTGAGGGGTATCCCGGATGTTGTGCCTTACGAGAAGGCTGTGGAATGATGACTGATGTTGATGATTAGGCAGTTGGATCGGTTGACTTGTCAACGGATTGATGGATTGATGTATGGGGTCATCATGAGCAAAGGAAGCTTTTTAGAGCATATTTTCCTCGTCTAGGGTATTCATATAGAAAGATGCCCTGCATGCTATGTGTGTATGTGTGCGGAAATAGATTCCATGAATTTTATTGTAATATGTGTTTGTGCATCTCTCTGCGTGACTCTCTTCACTGCCCTCATCCCGGCATTCAAGGCGGCATGTCCCCGCAATTTGCTCAGCAAGAGTTACCGTCCTACGCGTATGACATACAGAGCAAGAAGACAATTACCCCTCCACGCATTGAGCTTCGCAACAAGCAGCAATGGCCGATATGGCTTCGCGCATAGCTTCACTCAGGTCTTTGCTACCTGATCTCGAGTCTGCGCTGCATTCGTTTACTTCGTCGCCCGCCAAGTTTCGTGTTGTGCGCACAGTGAACGACACACCGACGCAGCCACAGACCCTCTACATCCTCGACTCTTCCTTCAACCCGCCGTCCCTTGCACATTTCACTCTCGCATCGTCGGCTCTGAAGAATTCGGCACCATTGGAGCAGAGCCCCTATAGACTGCTACTGCTCTTTAGCACACACAATGCAGACAAGGCGCCTAGCCCTGCAAGCTTTGTGCTGCGCATCGCCTTGATGACGGCACTCGCTGAAGACTTGTCGCAGAGCGTCAAGAAGGGAACATGCTCTTCGAATGCTGATGTGGCCAATCTATCAATAGATATTGGTCTTACCAAAGAGCCCTACTACAGTGACAAGTCGGCAGCCATCGCCCAAGCTACGCCACCTTTCTATACTTCGAGTCCGAGGCATGTACATCTTGTCGGCTATGACACGCTGATCCGCTTCTGCAACCCAAAGTACTATCCCAAGCACGATCCACCGCTCTCGGCCCTTGAGCCCTTTTTCGCTGCTGGTCACAAGCTGCGCGTGACCCAACGACCAGCCGATGCGAACGACGAGTCGTCGCGTGAGTTTGGCTCAACTCAGGAGCAAGCCAAGTACCTGCAAGACCTGAAAGACGGAAAGCGAGAAGCAGCCGGCTTCCAGCCCGCATGGAGCAACAACATAGAAATGGTCGAGGCTGAAGAAGGTGTTGGAATCAGCTCAACGCGAGTGAGGAATGCTGCCAAACAAGGTAGATGGGATATTGTGTCAGAACTGTGCACTGAGAGCGTGGCGGCTTGGATTAAAGACCAGGAGCTATACAGTGAGGATACAAGTGGTAAGAAGATGATGAGCTGAACGCTTAACCTCGCGACATCCCCGATACTTTTCAGCATGCAATACATGTTGCCCATTTGTAAGAGTGCCACTTCCTCTGAGTTTTCAGGATTCGTCAGTCATTTGATCATCGCAATTGCTGCTGCTTCTATTGTGTCGTTGCCCTCCGGCTTTCCTCGTCCAAAACATGGGCAGGCACTCCACGTGGAAGAAGGCCCTACCTGTCAACAAACAGCAAACCTCTTTGCCTAATAATCTGCTTGTCCTCTCACATCCACACCATGGCTTCCAAGCTGTGCTGCATAACAGAAGAGGGCGAACGATCGAACTCACCCGAGCTGCCCAACGTCCGCCTCAGCCAACTTGCACCCGCAAAACAGCGTCTTTTACCCGAACAAACCAGCTCACCAAACTCGCAGTTTACGAGCACCTGTTCCGGAGATCTCCACGAGCTCAGAGAAATCTTTCAGCATGCTGAACACTGTGATGAAGATCGCGATACACCTCTGCAGGCAGGTCCTGTACGTTTCAGTCGCCCTTCAATCCACAGTATACACTCACTTCACAAGGTGAAAAGCATGCGTTCTATGATCAAGAAGAAATTCTCCAAAGACTTTCACAAAAAGACACCCTCCACTCCAACACATCACTCTGACGCGAACGAAACTACTCCAAAGTCCACACCTGACACTGTGATCAAGCTTCAGAAAAGGGGGCCAAAGCAACAACTCCAGATTACCAAACAGGACTTGCGCAATAATCTTCTTAGCAACAAGAAATCTCACGAAGGAGGCTACGACTCGGATGCCCAAGTGTTGGACGACGTTGCCAGAAATGTTGGCAAAAGATCACCTAACAAACGACCTAGTATTCATAGCGTTGACTGGGTTGCCTCGCATGGAAGGTGATTTGAAGATGATTATGAGTTTGTTGGTCGATACTCACATTCTCAGGAAAACGACACCAGAGTCATGCACAAATGGCTGCGCCAGTTGTGAGCCTCAGCAAGACCTTCGCCCATATGATATCACAGACACGCAGGCAGTCTCACTATTCAATACATTCAACCTAGTGTCCAGAACACCTATCCTAGCATCAGATACATTCGATGAGAGAAGAGGCAAGCTGAAGCGCTCGTACTCGGCAGAGTCAATGAGCTTGCCAAAGCCCCCGCCAATCTCTCCATTACGATTACCAGGTCTTTCAAACAATGATACAACTGGTAAGCCCTGGTCGGAGGCCATGACTGAGAGTCTTCGGTTATCACGCTTTCCCGTTCCTCCGCGTGACGGCAGTCCTATAATGTTCGACAACGACTTGCATGTCTGCCGAAACCCAAAGCACAACCAGGCACATCATCGACGCCGGAACAGTGATTCCTCAGTAGCTCCTAACTGCAAATATGATATGGTCACATCTTCTGTGGCTCGCATGGTAGAGATTCGCGTTCAACAGCCAACCTCAACCGCCACCCCTAGACCGTCCATGTCGATTCAAGGCACTCTGCGTGAGATATCTTCTTCTGCTACCGTTGTCCGTCTCGAGAGATCTCCGTGTGAGGAAGCAGATGATGATGGTTCACACCATTCGGTTCATCTGCAAAGCATGCGTATTTCTCACCATCTACGCTCGGGATCATTGCTCTCCTGGGACAAGCTTGCAAGCACCTCGGAAGTACCTGGATCGCCTTACGAGTTGCATGAACATAGCTCTGCCGATTCAAACTACTTTTCAGAAAAAAACCAGCAGCTGCCTTGTCATCGTCGGCAGACATCGAGCTCTGGCATAGCAAGCTACAAGATTCCGGCTGGATGGGGAAATCTCGTCCCTAGCGATGCAAACATTCAGCCTGATTTTGCGTCTTCTATATACTCAAGTAGACCACAGAGCCCGCCTGGCAGCTTTGGTGGATCTATGGTCAACCTATCCCGGACTGGTACTGAAAATCAACCCTTCAGTATCTCTACCTCAGATCTGCGCAGGGCTAGACGTTCGGCATCCTTCCCGACGGATAACGAAGAGACGCCAAAGCCAAAACAGCGACATGGCCTCACCAATCTGAAGGTCTCACAGAGCTATAGAACGGAAACCCCATGTACTCCACCGAGAGCACCTCTAGCACGTAATAATAGTGTTGCTGATACCAAGGTTTCCAAATTTCGGGAAGAGTTCAGTCCTCCTGCTACCAAAAAGAAGCTCACACATTCATCCTCGCTAATCAAATTCTTGAAACCCAAGAGACTCAGCTTGCGGAGCCAAATCGAGGCGAGTAATTCCCCTGAACAACCAATTGTTGGCGGAGATGGTCCTTTTGATACACTAGACGTGCCTGCTGATCGAGAGCGCCGACAATCGCAATCCCTGGTGAGTTTGCGTGCGGAACAACAAGCCCTCGGCAAGAACAAGGGCGCGAACCAGGTTTGGGATCGTGCATTACAAGCTCATCAAGAAGAGAAAGCATCTCTTTTTCTCCCCAAGAACAAGGATCTCGCTGTACAGTCTAGTCCTTTTAGGGAACGCAGTTGGAGTGTTTCCACCAGACGAATCAGCGTTGATGACGCAGATGTTTCTATAAGGCCTGAGGACTCAAACGGGCGTCTATCCACATTGCATACACCTACACCCGGTGGTGATGATGGAGACAGACCATCAGCCTCGATCTTTCGACGTCGCGCCCTGGCAAGTGGAGACGATTCTGAGGTAGGAAAAGCAGTAGCGGATGCCTACAACCGACAAGGCGACGATGTGGATATTGTTGGTGCATGGGGCCGATATCCTTCTCACACACGCGAGGAACGAACCGGGTCTGCTGGTAAAGTAGATGATGTCCAGCCGCGCGACTTTGCACTCGAAGTAGCGATAAAGTCTACGGCTCCAATTGATGACGAGGACCTGGTCGATCCAACGCAGCGAAGACCCTCGACTCCACTCCTGCCTGGCGAAAAGAAAAAGAAGAAGAAACTTGGCAGCATGCGCATGGCAAGAAGCAGCTCTATGACGTTTGGTAAGGCACTCATGAGGAACTATAGTAAGATGTTCAAGAGTCAGAGCACGGAGTTCAGGAGGCATGGTCGCGGCCATCGCAGCTCGATCGCGTCTGGTGGTATTTTAGAACATCCTGAACTTGAGCTGTTACCTGAAGTGTGGGCAGGCGACTTTGTTGAAGAAAATAACAGTGGCGCACGGGGCGATCGTGAGGAGTTTGTTACTCCAGATCAAACGCCAATGAACACCGCCAAGGGCAAGGACAAACTCGTTGTTGATGAGACTATGGCAAGGCTCCGTCCGCGCCGTAACTCGTCTGCACCTAACCTCAGTGAGCTCTCGCTCCGAGGCGGTGATGCCAATTACGATCACCTCCACGACCTTGCCCGTGGCTGGTCAGTCTACTACAAAAACTGCGTCGACGACTACCCCTGCCCAAGCACCGGTGCAAACACCACAACAGCGGACTGTGGTGCCCCCGCTCGTCTGTCTTTCGATAGTAGACACATGTCTCTCCACTCTTCCATCATGCGCAGCCATACTGGAAGGCACTTACGCAACCCCAGTCCAGTGAGCCACATGAGCTGTAATATGAGGGGCGGCGATGACGCTGCGAGTGAGAAGAAGAGTATGGCTAGCGTGAGACGCAGCACTATGGATCTTATTTCAAAGTTCAAGATGCAGGAGGTGGCGGAGCATGAGAGGATGTTGAGGCTTCGCTTGGGAGAGAGTGGTGAGGCGATGGGGGATGGGGATGTGGAGTGAGGTTGTGGAGTTAGTGGAACTTGTAATGTTTAATATTCGCTTGAGGCAGTGACAGAGAATGTGAGTATAGTTTGTGTAGCATAGTTATCGTCGTTGTAATTATATCAGTCTTCACACGTTCTTTGCTGCATAGTCACTGTGCAGATATCAAAAACAACACTTAACTACGGTAGGCCAGTCATTTCCAACACAGCATCACCATGCAGAAAACATCATTTGATTCAGCACACCTCCCACTCGCCCCCCGACACTCCAGACTCCACAAGAAATCATCCATCTCTAATCCTAACCCACGTTATCCCAACACCCCCAACCACGGTTCACCATCCAATTATCCAATTCTGCCCCCGACCCATCGACACAAATCAATCCCCCCTTTCACCATAAAAACAACACCGAAGCTGCGCACTCCAAAACAACAATTCTCCTCTTCGAAAGTTATTAGCTTGACAACGAAGCCAACCATCTCAAGCCTCTTTTTGGATCGTGGACTAAGTTTGCTTGAAGATTCAACATGGCGAATAGGGACTCCACTGTGGAAAATCAATGGCAGAGCGCGAGCGGGATTCCCTCGGTTGCGGAGATGAATGCGAGGTTTGAAGCGAGGGTGAGTATGTATTTGGGTGAGGGGGTAGAGGTGATGGGGTCTGGGAAGAGGAAGAGGGATAGTGGGGACGAGGGTGAAGGGAAGGATGGGAAGAAGAAGAAGAGGGAAGAGGGAAGTGAAGGTGAGCGAGGTGAAGAGCAAGAGAAGGGAGAAGGGAGACGCCGGAAAATCACCATGAGGGTGCGATTTTTTTCCAAGGAGAAGAATGAAGGTTCTTCGTCAGAACAACAACAACAAGGTCCATCCAACAAAGGACAAACACAACCCAACCACGCCCACCCCATGCCCCGCAAACCTCCCTCTTCAACCTTTAACCCAAAATCGCCTCCAAAAGCAACAAGGCAATCATCCCGCACCCAACCGCCCCTCCCTTCCGCATCAAACCCCCCTTCCCCCACCACAACCACCACTGCAACCATGCCCCCTCCCAACCTCAACCTCAAGCAACCCCCCCTTCACCCCCATCTCCACGTAACAAACGAACCACCCATCCCCTGGGACCCCATCCCCTTCCCCTGCGCCCTCCTCCCAGACGACCACGAAGGCGCGCCAGCAGCTTGGAAGCGGCTTTTCCCCAATGAAGAGGAGTTTGGCGAGTATGGTGGGAAGCCGACGGGGTGGATGGAGAAGATGACGTGGAAGGGGGGGAGGTGGGTGGAGAGGGGGGAGGGGGATGTGTATGTTGAACGGTTTTTGGGGAGGGGGTAGGTATGGAGGAGGGTATGGGATGGGGCTTTAGATGCCACTTGATGGGGTATTAGGTTTCTTTGGTGTCATTAGAGGCAGCTGGATGAGCTACGCTTGAGGGGTCTTGGGGTTGGTCTGCTTCGTCGCGGTGGATGGCTTCTTCTTCGTGAACTACGTCGTTTGTGTGGGTGGATTGGTCTGCGTTGGGTTTGCGTGCGTGCCAGAAGAAGCTAAGGAGTTAGTGTAACTACGAATTAGGGTGAGTGATGACTTACACGTCAGCATAGTAATGTCGGTCTTTTCGCTTTGCTTCCTGCCGGCAATCGGCGAGGAAAACTTCGACTTCTTCTCTAGACCACTTGAGTACTCGTGTAAATAGACCGAGTGAACTGCTGGGCAGCCAGTCCATAAGGTCTTCATATACAAAGCGGCCTAGCAACTTGAATCTCGCGCCTTTTGCCCATTTGCCTACTGGCCACTTGTACATCTTAACGTTAATATCCGTGAACCCCGCATTACGCAGCTGGGGTGTAAAATGGCGGGGACCCGTGCCATCAAGGCCAATCTTCTGTGCAGCCTCGATGAAATACTCGGACCAGCGTATCAGCGGTGAATCCTCAGCAGTCACATTAGGATCCATGCACCGGATTGGGAAAGCCACGTCTTGACACTCTAGGTAGCCTCCGGGTTTGAGGTTGGCATGGGCTTGTTCGAAGAAACGGGGCCAGTTTTTGACGGCTGCTACCAAGGCGCGCGAGTGGATGTAGTCGAATTTATCGTGGAAGATCCATTCTTTTTCGCAATCATCGATTAGGAATTCACAGTTTGGTGGGACTTGTTCGGGCTGGATGGGACTGAGATCTGTGCCCAGGACACGAGCAGATGGGTGCTCGTCTGCGAACTCAATAGCCCATATGCCAGTGCCACACCCTACGTCCAGGACATTTTGGACATCTTTTGGAATGGGTGCTCGATAAAGTTTTCCGTCGAGTGTAAGGCGAAAGGCGTGGTGTTGGAGATCGAGTCTATCTGCCTCGGTCTGGTAGAAATGGTGTAAGCAACTAGTCTATCTGAGTGACGGCAACGTGGGGCTGACCTCGTCGTTTGGCACTGGGTACATGCCCTCTGCGTAAGCATGGTACCTCCTGCCATTCTCGTAGCGAAAGTTGAATACAGACGACGTGGCAGACATTGTGTAGGATGATTGACTGTCGCCAAAGGCAGAGTCGCGTTCGTCGCTTTGCTCGCTCTGCCACGGCACCTATTTGTCAGACAAGATATCTCAGGATTAACACGTTGGACGGGACCCACGTCGATTTCGAGCGATGGTTCGGAGCTGCTAGCCTCTTCAGCTGTAGGGTCGCTATGGGTATGTGGAGTCGCTTCCTGCGCGTCATTTGACGGCGACATTATGGTTATCGGTGGAGAAGATACAAGACACACCGGCCGAATGCTGGTTTTAAGCTTTCTAGTGGCATGATTTGAATGTCTCTCAAAGGGCCAGTTCTCCGACGACGGGAAGGTGAAGGATGGGCACTGTGTTCTTTCAGGTTGGCATTCTTCAGGCGCCCCATCCAATCATACCGGTTGTTCATATAGCTTGACGGAGTTTTCCGCATCTCTGCATCTATTAGGAATAGTCAATCTGATCACTTGCAGACGCCTTCGGGGTTGGTGGAAAAGTTTGGCATATTGAGATGATAACGCAAGTCGAGTCGGGTGTGGTTTGCTTTTGCAGTAGACCTGTCCATGGCGGGGCGTAGTGTTAATCGTTAGTTTTATTATGATCGTTACTTCAAGAGGGTTCTTCACTTCGTAGTTTCCGCATGAGAAGTTCCTGCAGGATGAGACACATAGGCCTGTGGGTCGAATGAAGTTTGGGAGAGAGGATAATGGGCGTACGTAAGGCCACAACTATCTGCGGCTGTGATTTGCGGATGACCCCGCTGACCCTCAGTGGCTGCTGTGAGTAATAGCTGAGGCAAAACATTTACGTGAGACGGCCACGCGTGAGCTGTTCATCGGTCAGAGTATAAATAGCTATGTAAGAAGCCGTCTTGACTGTTGTAGTTTGAACAAATTGGACAACTGCGACCCTGCGCCAAGACTGCGAACCCTTACTACTTACTATCCTCAGCCCACAGTGACACACATCGTTTGCTTTGTTTACTCCACCGTCTCCAAAACTTCCTATCGAGATTCTCTACTTCAACGGCAATTGTAATCTTAATCGCCCATCTGTTATGCTCACTCCTTACCTCCAGAAATCGCTGCCTCGATAGCCAGCACAAACCGGCACACTTTGCTTTTCCCTATCGCACAACCAAAGAGCGCTGCGCCGTTTTCAACAAAATACGTGGGTCGCCACGATTCGCTGCCTCTACAAACCAACGTGGGCTGCTTCAATCAAACAGGCACCAAAGTTAGTCGTCACTTCAAACAAGATGAATTCACTCTTCACTTGAGACACACGAGGCAAACAGGCACATTCGATGATGAGGTCGTTACATGAGATTACAATTATGACTAAGTGCAGTCAAGCAACTGCGGTCCCTCTAGTAGGGACTACACATAAAGGAGTAAGATGGGCGAAAGGTCATTAGGGGACGGCTGTCATCCATCAGTTGCTTCAACCACGGAAGCTGCGAGCCACCACGGGCTCTGACCTGGTCGTAGGGGCATTCGCTGCACGAACGGGTCCTACACCGGGCAATGGCCTGAAAGCCGGAACATCGGGCCAGTTTCCTAGCCCGGCAGGATCACCACCGAGTCGGATCCATTTGGCGTGCGAAGGAATGTCGCCCGCAAGGACGAACATACGATACCAGCCGACGGGTGCAATGTATGGCCCCTTGGGCGCCTTGACGGAGCAAGTGTTTCCTGAGCATGTAACTTGAGGGAAGAGGATACGGGCACCCATGGAGCTACCGTGCGTGCTGGACTCGGCTCCCATAAGCGACACCTTGATGGGTCCACCTGCGCTAGATGTGACAGTGAAAGAGTAGGTGGCCTCCCAGTTCCAGTCATTCTGAGCAAGAGTAAAGGTTGGCTGCGCGATTCCAGAGAGCAGGTATGGGGGAAGGAAGACCTCCAGTCGGTGCTCCTGGGGGTGCACATTGTCCTGCGGGTCCGAGCCAGACACAAGGACTCTTCCGTCGTCCATTACTACAGCCTCGGAGTGGTACAGGCGCGCAATGGTGGTGTTGGCCATGACGCTCATGCGTTGGTGCTTGGGCTTCCTGGAGTCGTACAAGACGGCGTTCATGTTGGGGTTTTCAGCGAGACCAAAACCAGCTTCACCAATCTCGGCGCCGTTCAGGATCAAGAAAGTGCCATCTGGGAGAGTTGCCATGCAGGACATGACACGACGGGATGGCATACGCTCAATTGTCCACTTGGGTTGGGCAACATCTGGTGCCATGCTGACGCAGTTGTCAAGTCCATAGCGCGGGTTCTTCGCAGCGCCACCACAGATGAGAACCTCAAGAGGATCGGTGTAAGGGTAGTACTGTGGAAGAAGAACTTGAGTACCCTCGTATGGGTAGGTTCGGCCTCCGGTAGGGTCGGTGACAGCAGCGGGAACCTTGGGCAGAATGGTCTTGGTGTCGAGAGTGACCTCGTCCAGGATGCGTGCTTCGTTGTAGTACTGGATGAAGATACCACCGGATGGCAGTACGACAAGGAAGGGGTACAGGTTGTATGGGTCAGTGTCTTGCAGGTACTGTGCGTGCTTGACTGCTCCAGCCTTGGGCAGGATCTCCATGTTTGGCACGGGGGGACCGTTAGAGCCGTCCTGGCCACCGACGATAAGCATTGAGCCGTTAGCCATAAGGAGACCGGTAGGATACCAGCGACCCTGTTGCAGCTTCACAGTGTTCACATCCTCTTGCCAATTGTTGGTACCGTTGACGCCAAGCGTGCCGTCTGGCGTGTACATGCGGACACCGAACAAGGAATCAGTCGACCAGCCACCAATGTTAATCTGGCGACCAGCACGATCAGGCAGAGTCAAACCAGCAGCGCAAAAGATGTCGGTCTTGATACCGGTCAACTCGCGGAAGGCGTGGAAGATGTCACCTCCAATGGAAGGGTCGAGCTCGTAAGCACCGGTTGAGTTGGGCTCTCCAGTTCCGTACTTCTCGAGAAGAGAAATCTTTCCGTTGACCGCGGGCTGCGAAATCAATGGAATGATTGGACCACCGACCAAGAACTCATAACGTCCAGCCGCGTTGCCTTTGGGGTAGTTCCACACGTATAGTGGATCAGCACCCTCCCACTTGTAATGGGACAGACGGTTACCCTGACCGCAGATTGCCTCAGGTTGACCGGGGCATGACATGTTACATTCTGACTCAGGGGCGGGCTTGGAACCGGCTTTCTCGATGCCATCCAAATCACCACAGAAGCATTCCTGGCCATACTCCAATCCAGCATGCATGAAGCCGAATTCTTGACACTTGCTAAGACACCATTCTGGTGAGTTGCCAGTCTCATTGACAGACTTCCATGGGAACACTTGGCCACCGATATCAGTGATGCAGCCTTGGTACTTCCAGCCACCTACAGTCTGGACGGGCTTTGGTTGCTGATAGACCTTGAGGGGGTTCTGGGTGGAATAGATGCTCATCCTGTTAGGACCTCCACATGTCTCGGCTTGATTTCCTGCGCATTTGGTGTTGCATTCGGACTCGGACTGAGCCGGTGCGCCTCCCATCCTGACCTGGTCAAGTTAGCATCTGATTACAAAGGAAGGGTGTCGGGAATACTCACAAAGTTATCACAGAAACACTGGTAGCTATACTCCATGGCGGCGATCTCGAAACCGGCCTGGGCACATTTCCTGGTGCATGATGCAACGGTCATTTGCTGATCATCAGGCTGTTGGTTGTTAAGAATACGGTATCCAGGTCCATCAACATAGCAACCCTTGTATTGGAAGCCTTGAGGAAGACCGGTGGCAGCTGGTGGGGCGCTGGACGTGCTGGCTTGAGCTGTAGTCGTAGGTGTGGTGGTAGTAGCGG